ACTCTTAATATTAACCCATGTTTACGAGGACCATGATTTAGACTTTAATTATGTATAATTTCTATTAGACACTTACTCCCAGATCCATTTTACAAGTGGACCACATAAAATGAAATAACTTGTGCCAGGTCACACAACTAAAACCCAAACATGATTTTCTTTCTCTCTTTTTCTCTCTCTCTCTTCTTTCTTTCTTTCTTTCTTTCTTTCTTTTTCTTTCTCTCTTTCTTTTTCTTTCTTTCTTTCTTTCTTTCTTTCTTTCTTTCTTTCTTTCTTTTTCTTTCTCTCTTTCTTTTTCTTTCTTTCTTTTGTTAATCTTTGTTCTTGCCATGATTTCTATTCTTTTCTTTAATTAATTCAACCAATTGTTATGGATGATCTACTATGTACTGGGCCTTGAGCTAGGTGTTGGGGCTCTGGCAATAAATGAGATAGATTTCTTCTCCATTGGGTTATTTACACACATTTCCAACTACCTTGGTTAACCCATCTCAAACTCTCTAGATCCCAAAACAAGACTTTCCTTAGAATCCCTCTCCCCATCTTTTCTGACTTCTCTTTTAGAAGGAACCTAATAAATATTTTCTTGCACAATGTTGCATAAACTTTCTGAGTGAGACATTTCAAGGTGAACATGGTAGTTAAGACATTATGAAAACCAACACATCAGAGGATGGCTGGCCTCATATTTGCGTGGGAGCTTTTAACCCAAACACACTGATAGTCTTTGCTTGTTCTGCCAAAAACAATTTTGGAGGGAGGTTGGGGAAAGAGATGGATGGGAAGAAAGCCAGGTAAGATACTAAGGGTTCCAGCAATTCAAGTTGGTACTGGTGTGACTGCAATTACCACACAGAGCCAGGGGTGTCAGAAAGAAGAGGCCCTCCCTCTGCTAAGATGTAATTTTTTAATAAGGGAAGAGACATTCCCACTTTTCAGCAGCTTTAGGGAATGCAGACAAAGCAATCTTCAGTATCTCTCACCTACCTGAAAACTTCTCATCTCTTGCTATCCAAGAAAGTCAAATCATAAAGACCACACATGTGCATGCGCACACTCTAAAAGGTGGCTCCTCTACTTTATGTATAGAAGGTTTTCATAGAGAAAATGTGTAAGGCTGTGTTGGACAGAAGCCAATGTAAAGTCTGTGATGTATTTATTTATTAATGTTTTACTGTGTTCTTAAAATGTCTCCTTAGGATGTGACTGTGATGGAAGGTGGAGCACAAGTGAAAGCGGTAACTCCTAGAACTTTTTCTTTGTAAGGGCATGGAAGGGGATCCACATGTGGAAGGGTTTAATGTATCCTCTTCACTTCTTTGGCCCGTATCCAAAGACTAAAAATATCACACTTCTCTCAATAAAGAAGGAAAGTCATGAACTTCGATGTAGTTTTCACAAGGACTTGAAAACCTCAAGACCAGGGATTCTCATTACAGGTTATGCCAATAATGGCTTCATGATGCTGGTGAATTTTTCAACCTTAGTTCTCATGCCTAGAAAACAAGGATGAGAACTTCTACCAAACAGAGATTTTAGAAAGATTAAATGAAAGAATAGGATAAAAATTATTAGCACATAGCAGGTGGTCAACTGCAGTAGTTCCTGGTCACTTACTGTACCACCAAAAAAACAAAATTAAACAACAAAGCTAAACAAAACAAAAATTTTCACAATTAAAGTTTTCACAGGGAAAGTTTTGACCTCACTTCCTAATCCAGTCTTGTGCTGAGGACTTTACATGACCATTTGCGTTGAACCTACTATATAAATGGTGGAGTAATAACAGGTGCTTAAGAGACATCAACCACAGGGGAACAGCAGATGGCAAAATGGTTATATCACTGGACTCCCATATAGTTGACGCTGGTTTGCATCCCAGATCCGGCAGCTTAAAACTCACATTGGCGTGTGCAAGCGTACATACGTGCCCAAAATCCCAAGAGGAGAATGGAAGAGAAGGGATTACGGCATGGCTGTCCCCCCGGGAGGCGATTTCTCACTTTCTGTCTCTGTCTCTCTGGCAAGTACATATGTCCTCTAACAAAAATCTTTCTCTCTAAACAAAAGAAAAAAGAAAGAAAAGAAACATCAACCAGAGAGTCCACCATAGCAGTTACCTCGCTGGACTCCCACATGGCCGACCACAGTTTGAGTCTTGGACCAATTGCTTGAAAATCATGCCTGGCCGGCAGGTGGCATGGTGGCTAAAGGCACTGGACTCCCTCATGGCTAATCATGATTCAAGTCCCAGATTTGGTGGCTTGCTTTTTTACTGTTTCTCTCCCTCTCTCTCTCTCACTCTGTCCCTTTCTGGACAAATTAAAATAAATAAATAAATAAATAAATAAATAAATAAAGTTAAATAATTCTTAAAAGAAAAAAATGAAAATCCCGCCTGGCACATGTGCATGCGTGCCCAATATCCCAGAAGAAGGGATTATAGTGTGGCCATTCCTCCTGTGGGGGTGATTTCTCACTTTTCTTCTCACTGTCTCTGTCTCTGTCTCTGTCGCTCTCTCCAGAGCACACATGACCTAAGGCAAAAAGTTCTTTTTTTGTTATTAGAGGGAGTTTTTGCTACAGGACATGTGTGATCTTTAGAGAGACAGAGAGACAGAAAGCAAGAAATTACTCCACAGGGGAGATGGTCACACGCAAATTCTTTCTCCTCTTGGGATTTTGGTTATGCACACACATACACCTGTGCCTGGCCTGAGTTTTAAGCTGCTAGGTCCAGGACTTAAGTCGTGGTTGGCCTTGTGGGAGTCCAGCGACATAACCATTACACCATCTGCTGGTCCCAAGGCAAAAACTTCTTTAAAAAAATCAATAAGTGAATCTTTTCATTCTTATAAGTGGGTCTCATTATTCCATGTCCAGCAGAGCTGACTGGTAGTCAGAGGGTGAAATATTTTGTCCAGACTCTGGTCAACCATCTGGAGAGACAAACCTGCAGCCCAGGTCCAGCTGATTCCACCATGTGAGAAGGCAAAACTCTCCCAGCTCTGCCAAAGGTCTCCAGTGAGCTATGAGGACCAACAATCTTACGGCTGGAAAGGACCTCACTAGGCTTCGGATTGACTTTCCAATGTTTTATACCAACCCAGACCACATTAGGTTACTATTTAGTAACCCCTGGAAGAGTTTACCAGTCTTCTTCCATCATAGGGTCATGTCTAGTGGAGTTGTATAAAAGGGTTAGGGGGATACAGGACTGATCTACGTGGACCTTAAGGTAAAATGACCTTCTCTTGTCATGGCTAGAAAGAGCTTAAATAAGGTGTGAGATGTTGGTTCAATTCTCCTGCAGTTGGTGGTAGGTGCACCAGTTGGGCCCTGCGCCTACCCTACAGTGATGTCACAATCACTGATATTACATGGACATGCCAAACACCCCAGTCATGGAATGCAAGTGCCTTGAAGAAAGGAATGTTTTCCTATTTACATTGCTACTATTTCCTGTCTGTAGAAGAGTGGCTGGCATATAATGGGATCCTACAGGAATAAATAAATGAATTAATTATAATTACACTACATGACAGATTCCTCTATTTTGAATTTTGTTACCTGGGAGAGTCACCTGCTTGATTCCCCCATTGAAGCTTAGGCTCAAAAGTAACTTCCACAGAGGGACCTACCCCGATCACCTCATCTGAAAATAGCTGCCTTCTTTCACTTTTATCCCCTTTCCTTGCTTTACTTTTTCTCTCTAACTCTTATAAATTGTGAATTGTTCATCACTTTCCCCAGTGGTAAGTTCTGAGAGGGCAGAGAGCATCCATCTGAGTACTGCTGTATCTCCTGCACCTGAAATGCAGCCTGCAGGTGTCAGTGCTTCATAAGTCATGTAGAATGGACAAGTGAGTGAATGGATAAGTAATTCATGCATTATACATAGCAAGAGCTCAGCACAGTGCCTGATACTAGCAAGTGAGAGATCAACGTTAGTTTTGACAATATTGGTGATGCTACCCAAATGTCATCTGAGGACATTGCACTGTGAATTGTCTACTGACAACCTTCAGTGTATATCCTGGCAGGCTGGTGAGTATAAAAGGCTGTTCTTACATGCCATCTGCATTCCTCCCTGCTACTATCAGTAATGCTAAAAAGCAATGTCTTTAGAAGTGTCACTCCTAACCTTTTCCTGTTTGTGAGCAGTTCATCTCCCCACACCCTAATTCTTGAATTAAAACATGTTCAGTTCATTTGCACACTAGTGTGAATGACTGCTAGCAATCTCATACCTGCATCTCAGCCAGCTCAACCATCTGACCTCTTCCAGTTTCTGGAACTTCCAGATCTCTTTACTATCACTTATTCTGTCATATACCTAAAATGGCTCCTCTTTACCCTATTTTATTCCTAAGGATACTCTTTCTAAAATCCAGCTCCACTATCATTTTCTCTGTGAGCTCAACTCCAGATCTTCTAGCAGTTTTCACCTCCTTTCTCTAGCTGTCCATGTAGCTTTTTCTTCCTCCCATTGCAACCCTTGTCACAGGGCACTGTGCTTTAATCAGATCTCTCTGAGAGATTATCAAAGGCTGGGAATGGATAGCCCTGACTTGATGCAGTGGAGGGGGCTCCTCAAATCTCTGGACTCAGCTGCAGGTTTGCAATTCTGCCACTCCTACTCTCTGTGAGTCCCTGACAAGTGGCTTAATTAGACCACATGTAAGGTATCCCACTTGAAAACGGATCCTATTTATTATACTTCAATAACTTTTAAACATCACAGACTAATGCGTAAAACCATAAAGATAGATATTCTGGTGTGGATCACGTTAGGGGATGACTTGCGATGGGTGGAGCAGGAATTTGTTCCTTACATATCTTACCCATTGGTATGAGGCATGTTTGTAATGGGTTGTAAGTTTATTTGGAACCTGAGATAAGAAACCAAACAATGGCTGAATATATTTCTGAAAACACCAGAGCTTTATTACCTTTGTTAATTCAGCAGAGAGTGCATTGCACTGAAATAATTACTCTGGTTTGTTCAGATCAAAGACAGGCCTTCACTACTCATATATAGTTTTGTGGGTCAAGGAACCAAACAATGAGGTGTATAGTCCCTGATAATCACATCCAAAGAAGTAAAAATAAAGCAAATTCTAAAACACAGCAACAAAATTTACAAAATCTATTGAAATATTCCACTGTACTCCCATAGCACAAAAGGTTCATATCTTATAAGGAATTTGGAGAGATTTATGGCATACAGATGGGCTAATGTATGGCAAGACACCTCTTAACAGACTCTATTCTATTTTGTCCTCATTAGCATGATTTGTCCTGTACCATGGAGAGGAAGAATCTGCAGATGGAACTCCAGGACTCTCCACAGAACTCCAGGGCAATTTTTCTCTGGTTTGCTACATCTGGATCCTCCAAACACTCAGGATCTTTGATGGCCTTGTTGTCTGTCACTGCTGGGCCAGAGTGGGTTTCCTCTTTGACCTTGGCATGCCCTGCCTCCTCTTTGACAGGCTTTATGTTGCTGAAGAGAGTGGAGCTCACCAGCTTGAGATTGGACTCTGGAAACTTTTTTCTACACACCCTGGACTTCAGGACACTCTTGGAGGACCCGCAGATGTTCTTCAATTTGCGCAGATTTCGGGCAATTTGTTTCCAATAGACCTTATCTTCATTGAACTCTAGACATGAAGTTGCATTCCCAGCAAAGTCACAAGAAAACTCATTGTCTGTTCGGGAGCATTGGACCTTTAGAATGGTACCCTCTTCCTGCTCAGCCATGGCCCATCTGCAGCTAGCTTGGTCTTTGGTGACAAAGCTGCCTTTGGTCATGGACTTGGATGTCTGGTTTCTCTGTTTAATTTGGGGTTTGCCCTCAGTGTCCCTCTGCCTTGATGTCTCTCTGCTGTGATGTCCATTTTTTGCTTTCTTTTTGCCCTCCACCAGAAGCACCTGAGCAGCCAGGAGCAGGAAGGAGAACAGGGTGAGGCTGTGGATCCTCATGGCTTCAACCGGGCGGGCACCTATTAGACAAAAGCCAGGTGAGTCACTACTGGGCAGTGGTTCAGCTTTGTAGGACTGCAGGTTGGCCTCACTCCCACTGACACATGCCTGCTTGCTTTATGAGTAGACAAGCATCCTTTCTGGCTCCTGGAATCACTAGACAAGTAGCCTGTCTACTCACAGTTCCACTTGACTGAGTCTTGAGTGTCACAAAACTGCCACTCCTCATCCTTTCCTTTACTACTCTCATTAACATTTATTCGTTTTTCACTCAACTCATTCCTGCATTTGCTCACTCATCACTCTCATTCACTCATTCAACAAGCATTTAATGAGCATCTACTATATGCTATGTACTAGACTAGATACTAAACATACCAAGCTGAATGAGAAAGCCACTAGTCTTCAAGAGCTCAGGGGCTACTACTTGAGGGGATTTAAACAGCATTGACCAAGAAGACTGTCTCATCTCTGTCCCTAACTTCATTTTGGATGAGACACTTGCCCTCTGGGATTCCATTCATTTACCTGGAAATCAAGGTATTGGATGAACTAATGATCAAATCCTTCCAGCTCCAATGTGCTGGATTTCCATCTCTCAATTCTACATGGACACAGATGACCACAAAATGAGAAAGGCCATGGTAAGAGTCATAGAAGTGTCATGAAAGATGGTGCAACCCAAATATTAAACATGCAGAGATTTTGCTACACTGAGGTGGGTGGGGTTGTGAGGGTGGGGAGAGAATTTTGGAAGGAAATGAGAACTTCAGGAAAGGCATGAAGGTGGAGAGGTTATCTGATTTGAAGAGGTGAAGTGAAGCAGGGTGGAGGGGGTGAATTTAGACTACAAGGTTAGAGGAAAAGATCACGCCTAACTCACTTCATGAGTCCTGTGGTAGCATAGTACTGGGCACACAGAAGGTCTTAATTAATGCTTTTTAAAAAGAAATAATTTAAAACAGGGTGACATTCAATGCCACATCAAACCAAATTGCTTTCTCAAGGTAAACAATTCTTTAAAACTACCATGTAAGGAGAAGAGAAATGAACTTCTAGTTGCCACTGTGTGTTAAGCATAGAGACAGCATTTGAGTCTCACTTTTTAATCCATGTGGGATTGCCCCCAGGTAACACCTGTGACTGTTAAGTCTTAAGTAAATAAATAGCTCAATCTCAGAGTAGGCAAGGCAGCCAGACCTTATGTTTTTTTCCCTTTCTACCACGACTCCTTGATCACTTTTTTTCATCATTACTCTGCCATTCAGAAAATACTGGGAAGAAATAATAGAAACAACTATGAACTATGACAGTTTTGTTGGTCACAGTTTATAGTGATAAGATGATTCAGCTGTGTTTCATTTAAAAAAATATTATCCAATTTTCAAATGAAAGGGAAGTCTCAGAAAACCCTGTTCTCATTCCTACCCCAGAAGTTTGGTCATGCTGTAAGACTAAGAAAGGGAAAGACAGTCACAGATTTGTGGGCTAAGGCAAGGAAGAGTGAGACTTCAGGCTAAGATGTCAAGTGAAGACCTAGTTCTTTCCCACAGCACCGGGGTTTATTCTCCCGAACAGGATCCATTAACAAACATCTTTGGATGGAGCAAAATGTGGGAGCAGGATAGAAAGCCCTTAAGAAAGTGGGGCTCTTACCTTGTTCCAAGTTTGCAGATCCAACACGATCCCAGATGCTAGAGTGACCCTGCAGGTTTACAGCAGCCTCAGCAGCAGATCAAGGTAGGGTAAGCTATTTATATAGGAGCCCAAACAGAATAGGTTTTTACAACATACATACCAGTCAAGTTTTATTCACATTCCTCCCAGCCACGCCCCTCAGAGGGAGCCAGGGAAAGTGCTGGCTGCAATTCAGGAAGAAGGGAGGTTACACATGTACCATTAGACCTGCTTCTGCAAGCCCTTCCCTTTTGACTCAGCAGCCAGGATAGGAGGAACAGCTCAGCCTCACAAAGACCCTCTTTAATGAAGTGACTAGCCCCGCAGTGATATCTGGGGGAGAGGGGACTAAGGTAACAATACTATACTGATCATCATTTCCAAACAGTAAGTGGAGCCCATTCTACCTAACCGAACTCCCTATTCCTCTTCGCATCCACTCCAATATATGGTATGCAATAATTCTTCCTATTTTAAAAATGGAGATATCAATAATTGTTCAACAGCTTGTTCAAGGTCACAGAGCTAAGAAGGGTGGAATAACTAAACTTAGCTTCAGATTCTGCATCCATGGTCTTATCTTCTCTCATCTGCTAATCTCAATAATACCTGATGAACAGATGACTAAATTTTCTTTCTTTGGGAGATTTTCACTATAGTTTATGTGTACTCACTGGAGAGACAGAGACAGAGAGACAGAAAGTGAGAAATCATCCCCTGGGAGGATGGCCATGTTGCAATCCTTTCTCTATTCTCCTCTTGGGATCTCAGGTACATGCACACACATACCCAGAGTGAGTTTTAAGTCGCTGGGTCTGGGACTTGAACTGCAGTCAGCTACATGGTAGTCCATTATGCCATCTGCTGATCCCAAGGTGACTAAATTTTCTGACACTATTTTCATTTCTGAGTCCCTCTTTCAACTCAGCCCTCTGAAGTGACTGTATAGGCAGAGGATTTCAAGGGCCCTTGGAGGCTAGGAAAGAGGATATTCTTGATGTAGAAGTCCTTTGTTTACTTTCAGGTAACATGAAGGAAGATCATTCTGGTCAGAATGACCAAGTGGAATCCTGGTGACAGCCTTTGTTTAGCTATGTGATGCTGCCTAAACCACTTAACCTTTCTAAACTTCCATTTGTTTATCTATGGTGTGATGATGATAACATTACCTCATTTTGGGGTGCTTATTAAATGTTTTACTTGGGCTGATGTATAAATAAAAGCAAAGCCAGAACAGTTTTATTTTGTTATGGGGCAAGTTGTATTATTTGAAAATGGACATTCATTGTTCATATATTAAGCAAATGGAGAGATGCACTTCTATAAAGTACAAACTTTATTGTGTTTTCTCACCTCACTTTCCATGAATTTTTGTATAAAATCTTATTTTTTTAAACCCCAGTTATACAGAAATTAATAAAAGTGTAATAATAAATGGCAACTGACTTTTGGTTCTAGAGTAGGTCATAGAGAGTCATCGGGACTGTGGCAAGCTTAAGAGTTTGTCTCTGTTAAGATCAACACACAACTCAGGATGGAAAGCAGCCAGGCATCTTCACTTTAGCCTGCATTGGGCCTCTGGGTTCACCTCAGGGCTGTGACGCCCTCCCCCAGCCAGGGACCCCCATTCCAGACCCCCATGTTAGCCAGGTAGGCAAGCAGTCCCCTCTTGCTCTACTCTGTCCCTTCCAATGTTTTTTTTTTCTCTCTCTCTTTTCTTTTTTAATAGCTTTTCTGCCTTCCTTGTGCCTTTATCATGTTTATTTCTCTCTTCTTCCCCTACTCAGGATTTTTCACTCAATTTAATTTTCTGCAAAGTGATTTCTTTTTTCTTTTTTCCATTTTTTTGTTTTGTCTTTTTCTCCTCTTCTAGTACTTTTCTTCTTTCAAAGACCCTCTTTAATGAAGTGACTAGCCCCGCAGTGATATCTGGGGGAGAGGGGACTAAGGTAACAATACTATACTGATCATCATTTCCAAACAGTAAGTGGAGCCCATTCTACCTAACCGAACTCCCTATTCCTCTTCGCATCCACTCCAATATATGGTATGCAATAATTCTTCCTATTTTAAAAATGGAGATATCAATAATTGTTCAACAGCTTGTTCAAGGTCACAGAGCTAAGAAGGGTGGAATAACTAAACTTAGCTTCAGATTCTGCATCCATGGTCTTATCTTCTCTCATCTGCTAATCTCAATAATACCTGATGAACAGATGACTAAATTTTCTTTCTTTGGGAGATTTTCACTATAGTTTATGTGTACTCACTGGAGAGACAGAGACAGAGAGACAGAAAGTGAGAAATCATCCCCTGGGAGGATGGCCATGTTGCAATCCTTTCTCTATTCTCCTCTTGGGATCTCAGGTACATGCACACACATACCCAGAGTGAGTTTTAAGTCGCTGGGTCTGGGACTTGAACTGCAGTCAGCTACATGGTAGTCCATTATGCCATCTGCTGATCCCAAGGTGACTAAATTTTCTGACACTATTTTCATTTCTGAGTCCCTCTTTCAACTCAGCCCTCTGAAGTGACTGTATAGGCAGAGGATTTCAAGGGCCCTTGGAGGCTAGGAAAGAGGATATTCTTGATGTAGAAGTCCTTTGTTTACTTTCAGGTAACATGAAGGAAGATCATTCTGGTCAGAATGACCAAGTGGAATCCTGGTGACAGCCTTTGTTTAGCTATGTGATGCTGCCTAAACCACTTAACCTTTCTAAACTTCCATTTGTTTATCTATGGTGTGATGATGATAACATTACCTCATTTTGGGGTGCTTATTAAATGTTTTACTTGGGCTGATGTATAAATAAAAGCAAAGCCAGAACAGTTTTATTTTGTTATGGGGCAAGTTGTATTATTTGAAAATGGACATTCATTGTTCATATATTAAGCAAATGGAGAGATGCACTTCTATAAAGTACAAACTTTATTGTGTTTTCTCACCTCACTTTCCATGAATTTTTGTATAAAATCTTATTTTTTTAAACCCCAGTTATACAGAAATTAATAAAAGTGTAATAATAAATGGCAACTGACTTTTGGTTCTAGAGTAGGTCATAGAGAGTCATCGGGACTGTGGCAAGCTTAAGAGTTTGTCTCTGTTAAGATCAACACACAACTCAGGATGGAAAGCAGCCAGGCATCTTCACTTTAGCCTGCATTGGGCCTCTGGGTTCACCTCAGGGCTGTGACGCCCTCCCCCAGCCAGGGACCCCCATTCCAGACCCCCATGTTAGCCAGGTAGGCAAGCAGTCCCCTCTTGCTCTACTCTGTCCCTTCCAATGTTTTTCTTTTCTCTCTCTCTTTTCTTTTTTAATAGCTTTTCTGCCTTCCTTGTGCCTTTATCATGTTTATTTCTCTCTTCTTCCCCTACTCAGGATTTTTCACTCAATTTAATTTTCTGCAAAGTGATTTCTTTTTTCTTTTTTCCATTTTTTTGTTTTGTCTTTTTCTCCTCTTCTAGTACTTTTCTTCTTTTTTCTTTGCTTTTATGTTCTCCCTATTTCTATTGCCTATATTATTTTATTCTACCTTAGTTTCCTGTTTTACTGCTCAGCCCTTACCAACTGCCTAGAGATGACTAGGTGCATAGCAGCTAAACATCAGAACATTGTGAGTTTTAGAGAATTCTTTGCACCTCACTGTAGTGGTTGCAAAAATAGTGAAATTCCCCTTCATAAATCCAATTGCAAAACTCCTCTGGTGATTCCCGCATTGGAAGACACAGTAGAAGGGAGAAAATAGCAACAAATCATTTCACAGTGAGGGGAAATACATGAGCTCACAGTCAAAGAGTCCTTCTCCAACAAATTGGCCAGAAGTGAATACGTAATGATTAAAAATCGGAGAAGAGCTCAAGGATGAGAGAATCAAGTCATTCTTCTCCAGCAAGGGAATACTGTAACTTGCTCCAAGTAGTAAACATTAGAACATATTACTGAAATGTCAGAAAAAGCATTTGGAATATTTAGGGTAACAAAATTAGATGAGATGCAAGAGAAAAGAGACATTAAGCTCCAAGAGATGAGAAAGTCCTTCTACAATATGAAAGAAGAACTGGACACCATAAAAAAGAACCAAAAGGAACTATAAGATATAAAGGGTGTAATACAGAAAATTGAAACCTTCCTAGAAAGTATCAAAAGCAGGTTAGATCATGCACAAGAACAAATTTGAAATGTAGAAGACAAAACCAATGACCTAGAAAAAAAATGATAAAAAACACTGAGAAAATAGCCAAGAAAACAGGATAATATATGAGAAATACTAGATACCATAAAATGCCCCAATATACGAATAATTGTATTCCAGAAGATGTAGAAACTAATAAGGGCATTGACAATCTATTCCATGAAATTCTAGAAGAAAACTTTCCAAATCTAGAGAGGCACTCAAACATTCAGACCTAAGAAATATAAAGAACCCCAAGTAGAATCAATCCAAGAAGATCCTCTCCAGAGCACATCATAGCTAGCTTGGCCAAAACGACAAAGACAAGATATTACAACTGGCAAGAGAGAAACATCAAATCACTTACAAAGGCTATCCCATCAGGCTAACATCAGACCTCTCATCAGATACAATGCAAGTAAGGAAAGAATGGGGAAATACATTAAAAATACTAGATTGAAAACAATTTCAAGCAAGAATACTATACCCTGCAAGATTATCCTTCATATAGAAAAATAAAATAAAATGTTCTGGTATAAATAAAACCTGATAGAATTTACCAACTCCAGACCAGCTCTTCAAGAAATTTTGAAAGGAGTATTAAAGAAATTCTGAAAGGAGTACTATATCATGACAACTAAAGAGTGACAGAAAGCAATAAGAGAACAAAAAACAAGAAATATAGCCAACTTAATGGTAGGGACAAGTCTGGAAATAGCAATAATAACGTTGAATGTCAATGGATTAAATTCTCCAATCAAGAGACACAGACTGGCTGAATGGATTAAAAATCAGAAACCCGGGAACCAGCATATAGCATAATGGCTATGTCGCTGGACTCCGGTTTGTGTCCCGGACCCGGTGGCTTAAAACTCACACTGAGCATGTGTGCGTGTGTGCCCAAGA